GGGGTTAGGGAGGAGGCGGTGGAGCCGGGGAGGAAGGGGCGTGTCTGCTAATGAAGGGGCGGGATTAGGGAGGAGGCGGTGGAGCCGGGGAGGAAGGGGCGTGTCTGATAATGAAGGGGCGGGGTTAAGGAGGAGGCGGTGGAGCCGGGGAGGAAGGGGCGTGGCTGGTAGGCAGGGGTTGGCCCGGAGAGGAGGGCCCAAGGGTCGGAGGGTCTGAGGGTCCGGTGGAGGTGGGTGCTCACTCACGCAGCAGCAGGAGGACGCTGGCCAGCACGATGACCAGCGCACCCAGGCTGACGCCCGCGCCCCCCGCCCGCAGCGCGGCGGCCCCCGGCAGGCAGACGCCATCCTGGCTGCAGCGGCACACGGTCACGTTCAGCGGCTGCTCGCGCTGCTGTGGCGGCTGCCCGGAGTCCCGGAGCAGCAGGCTGAGGCGGTGCAGGCCTTCGGAGACCTGGTGTCGCGGCCGCAGGCGCGCGTGGCTCACTGCGGAGGGCGCCCGTGGTCAGCGAGGGCCTGCCGGGGCCGCCCCCACCTCGCCTGTCCTCCTCACGCCAAGACAGGGTGCGAGTCCCGAGATCCTGGGCCTGGGTACCCCCGCTCCATCTGGACGCGATGAGTAACCTTGCCCCGCGCAAGGATGCAGCCGGGGGACCCCTCGCCCTCCTGTCCCGTCCCCAGCCCGAGCACGGCGGTGAGGGGAGCGCACCGTTGACCTGGCTGAGGCTCCAGTTCCGGCTGAGCTCTGGGAGCCTGGGGCTCAGCTGGAAGTGGAAGGGGGCCCCGTGGGGGGGCAGGTCCTCATCCGTGGCGCCCAGGAGGAGGCCGGGGCCCTGGTGCGGCTCACTGCACAGCCTGCCCAGCAGCGGCAGGGACAGCACCGGGGCGTGGTCGTTCACCTCCAGGATCTCCACGGACAGCGTGCCGGTGGCGGTGCGGGGCGGGGAGGCTGCAGGCGAGGGGGCCACAGTTCGGTGACCCCGCCCCAAGACCCTGGCCTGCCCCACCAGTCGCTCAGAGGGGTGCACCCCTCTGACCCCACCCCCCCGGGGGATGGACAGAGCCCTCGGACACCAGCAGGGGTGCTCACCGGCAAGGCCGGGTCAAGGAGCCCCAAACTGCTCACCGTCATCCTGGGCCAGGACAATGGCTCTGTACCAGCCACCCTTGAGGAAGGGGGACGCTGGGCTGAGCACCCGCTGGGTCTGGATCCGGCCAGTGGCTGGGTCCACTTGCAGCCAGTCTTCTGGGTCATAGTCCTTGGAGTAGCTGATGTGGGGGAGGGGAAGAGTCGGATCTGAGCTTACCCCAGGGCCCCCACAAGTGTGGTCAGGCATGGGTGCACAACACACCTTACACACACACACACACACACACACACGCCACATGCACTGCACACACATACCACGTATTCACACATGCACACAACATATGCACATACATGCTCGACCTTACATGCCACATGCAAGCACACATGCACACATGCATGCACAGCACATACACGTGCACACATACACATGCATATACAGACATTCCCACACCTGTGCACACCACCCACGCACATACCTACACACCTCATGTATATACCACACGTGCACACAAATGCACACATATATGTACACACAGCCCATGTGAGTATGATGGGAGCTGGGCAGGAAAGGGGGTGTCTGGTCACCTCACTGGCACCTTCTGTGAGGTGAGGAAACTGAGGCTCAGGGAGGGCAGGCGAGCTGTGCAGGGCCCTGAGACAGTGGTGTGGCAGCCTAGGTAAGCCCCAGTCAGTGCCCTCCCCCAGCACCGTGGAGACTCGGGGTGAAATGAGACATGAATGGCCCACCACTGCTGGGATGGTCGTGGCTGGCAGGGACAGACTGTGGTGTGCACAACCTGGAGCCAGGCCTGCCCTAGGGGGTGAGGTCAGTCCAGCACATACGCCCGGGTATGCCTGGGACTCGAAACCCTCTGAACCTTCAGGAATCCACACCAGCAGATGGCCCCTACACTCTCTGACCCTCAGAGCCCAGGGGCCGGGGGTGCCCGAAACAGGAATGCAGCTGTTAGCCTCCTCA